ACCCGTTAATGGGCGATGGCACATAATCAGTTGATCCTGTAACAGCCGATTCATCGTCTTGACTAAAGATAGTTTCGGTCTCGGTATTCTCCTCAGTGTTCTCCTCGAGGGATTCTAGGCTTTGCTCGGTGTCATGCTGGGGGTGATGATCGTACGGCATGGGTTGGGCAGAAACATGTAATGAGGCCTCGCATCCGGGATGACTACACATGGCCCCGCCCGACTCATCATCTGCGATGACGTGAGAGGGGCCGCGCATAGACATAGGGGATACTGTGGCTGGGCTTGCGTCTGTCGATGGGTTTTTTGAGGGCTAATAGGATCTTACGATGTGATGAAAGATGCTGTATTTGGTGATGGGATGGCTGTTCAGAATATGATAAGAGGTTGGGTAGAGAAGCAACGGTTTCTGGAAACAACTGGGAAATAGATAGCGGGGCGTGTCAGGTGCCGCTGTTGTAAACGCGGGGGCATCTGTATGGCTACGTAGGTCCCGGAATGTTGACGGAGGATCAGTGGAGGGTTGATGGCAGGGGTGAAGCTGCGAGGGTATCGGCGATAGGCGTAATGAATCAAGGTGGTATTAGATTCTCAACTCGGGCTAGGGCACTGTGTTCGTATCATCTCGTACTTCTAAAAGGACTAATACCAGCCTTTTCCCCTATCGCCCACCATCCCTCTGTTCATGTCTCTTTGCTCCTCACCAAACAGCTCGTCGCTTCATTTAGTAAATAGCTGTTTTAGCCTATCATTCATTACATTATCTATCAACGGGCGGCGGCGAAGACGATGCTGTCTGTCAAGAGCTCCATCTCCATCCGGCTCCCATACCGATAACCACTACAAACGTACTCGGACGACAATTTTACCTCCACCATTTCGACCGAAGACGATACTTTGCGAGACGACAACGACAATAATGAAATACCGGAAGCTTAACGTGTGTCATGCTCTTTTGTCGCTTTATCGGGCCCTTTCCTTTTTCTTATTAGTATAGAAAATTGGCCAACACACGTTGTGTTGGGGACTTCAACAGCTTTCACGAATCTAAGCTAGAAATCGGCCACTTAAATAAGGTGGACTGTGAGTCCTACAAGCCGCAAGGAATATGGAACCAGCAGGACGGTGTTATCAACGAGTCAATATGATTCATCGGATGAGAAAGGAGTACATCGCCATCCTACTACGCCAGTTTCGCTAGTATCCTTAAGGGGCAAATAGAAGAATACTTGGAAAAGCAGTATGTTCCACAGTCCTCTGGGACACGATATTATGTCTGAGAAGAAACGCTAATGTTGCACAGGATATTGCGCCACTTGATACAGATCTGTCCTCACCAAAGCTAGCCCAGTTTAATGTCAATCTCCTCCAGTAACCCCCGATCCCAGATACGATCCCATACGACACCTAAAGCCTGCCTATATGCGACATCGCCGTCCCATCGAATCCATAACACGAAATAAAAATCAAAATAGCTCTCTCCCTTCAATTCTCCTCGTTGCACACATTGTGTAAGTGGGTGGTTTTGATGATGCTTGGGTGAGACCGGCGTTACGTGCCGCATGTCGTCTTGCGGGCGTAGGCCGACATTTGGCAGATTGTCACTTTCCAGGGGCACCGAACCTTTGGCAATACGAACTAGTTCGCATCTCTGCCCAATAGGAAGAGACTCTTTCGCGTGCGCGTTTATCCGAACGGAACCAGCCCATACGGACGAAGTAGTGTAGAGAGGGAGCTCAATCGTGTCATACCCACCATCGTCGTCGCGACCGGGCCGTCCGAATGCATTTTCCTCCGCCATCCCGAACACAAAGACAGCCTTCTGGACGCTTGCATACAGGTACCGCGATGACGAGTCTATCGCATTGATATCGCGGCGCCGCTGGAAAGGTGGGACGGGATATCGGAACTTCCTCGTATATCCCACGTGCTCGCGGGCGTGGTACGTGTAATATGGCTTATAGTCTGAGTTGGGATCTCCATCATGCTTTTGCCAACCCTCCGGCGGAGGGGCGTCTTTTTCCAGGAAATGCCTACGCACAGTAATGTAGCTATCGTCAATGCGGCTGTTTTTCTGCCGATCCGGGGCTTTGAACCATTCAACGATCGGAGAAATCGTGACCTCGTACGGGGCCGACGGGAGCTCTGTGTCGGTGTTGCAGGTCCACATTTGGAGATCCAGAGCCCCTGACCATCCGAGCCATGACCACGTAGGTAGAAAGCCGGCATCCGATTGATCAGACCGTGGTCGCAGACTACTTTTAGGTTGCCAGAGTAGGCAAATCGTGAAGTAGAACTCAGGGTTGCCGCCAAAGAAGCCAGCTGGGAAGCCTTCACACATCTGTGTCATAAGACCCATGAAGGCATTTGCAGCGTCTGAGTCGTAGGTGAGACGCCGCACATTGTATTGTCCCACCATTGTTGCATAGCTTGTCAGTGATGGCCAGTCTATGACGAAGAGTTTACCATTTGATAACTGGGGCCCCTGGTCTATACCTTTGCGCTGCGAAATGTCTGGTGGGTTCGACAGGACCTCAGACCATTGAGCCGAACCACATATCCAATTAACAAACTTGTCGATGTAAAGTAACCTCCGAGAGAAAACATGCTCCTGGAAGGTCCATGCTCGACTGGACCATACCGTGCCAGCTGAAAAGCTATTTCCTAGTGTCCACAGTGTTCCCCTTATGAGGGGCTTGGAGGGGAAGGGTATTAGATGCTCCTGTCGCTCTTCGACGCCTTGGCCGAACCCAGATAGGCCGTGGTTAGCATCACTTCCGTCACCTGCTACAATCGTGAATTCCGCCTCGGCATATGTTTCGGCCATGGCCTGAAGGTGCTGCTGTTTAGTCTCATGATCATCTTGTACAATACAGACACGATCGACCCAAAGGTACCTCTGACTGGTGAGAGCGCACAATGTCATTGCATCGCGAATTGTTTGAGGGACGATTTGTGCGCCTGACACGGAGAGGCTACCTAGCCGTTTCAATTCGTCAATGTTACTCTTCAAAGCTTGAAGGGTCTCGACAGGCCCCCATACATAGCTCAGTGCGACGAAGGGTACGACTTCTGGAGGGGTGACAATGCACTCAAGTTCAACGTCGATAAAGCTGCGGCTAGTTTCGGACCTCACGAGCCAAGTTGCAGGCCTCAGGCATCTATCCCCGTGAGACCCATGGCAATGTTGCAGCCATTCACGAATTATGGAGGGGTCGCACTGTCGCGGATCAAATAAGCGCGGCGTCCCGGTGAGCCATGCAGTCGAGCCTTCAGGGATATCCCGGTCGCTAGAGAAGAAGTAAAGCGTCCCGAGCTGACTTATCAGTTGGCGTCGTTTACCCGCATGGGTTGATTCAGAAGATAGCGAACCGAACGCGACCCAGAGCACCGGATTCTGATCCATCAAATGCGCACTGAAGTCATAATCCCCACCCACCATCGACGCCGGGCCATCGGATAGACTAGCGCATTCTTCTTCAGCGCAGGAGATGAGCGCACGGCACGCTCGACATCGAAGGCTCCTTGTGATAAGCTCGGATTTCCTGCCCAGGTATATGTCTTGAAGCCCCGCTGACGATTGTCCTGAGTGAGGCCCCGATCTACGGGAGGAGACTGCACCGTCAATCTCACGGCACAACGGGCAAAAGTCACTCCGCTCCACCCAACCAGGCAGGACTGAGACCCTATTGCCCATCTTCCAATTCGCTGAATAAGGTCCTGAGAATTGACTGTTATCCCGTCGAGAGGCAAGGATCAGGAGCGAGCGGATGTCTTCAGGGGTTGCGTGCACCAAGCCAGCCGTCGAACAACAAAGAGGTTCGTTTGTTGAAAAAAAGCACAACAAGTTTCTAGAGAGGCCGTGATTGAGGAGCCCGTAGGTATTATGAGCCCGGCCTAAACAGGTCAAGAAAATTCTAAGATCCCGTCCGACTGCCCTCCGCCTAGAAAGGATCACGTTGATTCAGCCGCTTCTTAGCGGCCATTCTCACGTCGACCTGTCGACGGTGGGCCAGGTATACCAATACCGACAAAACCAAAACTGGAGATTGAGGATTGATGATTTGATAACCCCGCTCGCAACTTTATACTACGCAACGCAACAAACAATAAATTAATTGTATTAGAGTAATTATACAACTATTTATTAATTTAAAATACTGTATTAAAGGCGTAAAAGCTTTGGTTGACCTGATTAACTGACTTTTGTCGGTGCTAGTATACCTGGCCCTCCTAAAGTGGGCCAGGTATACTAATACCGACAAAACTAAAATCGATAGGATTCGATAACCTTGCTCGCACTACCTACCTGGACTAATATCGTCCAAACGGGTATATATATATTGTACGATTAGTTATTAACTTAAAATACTACGTAAAGGTGCTCTGGTTAACTTAACTAACCCGACCGACCTGGTAGAACTTGTGATAGAAGTGGGGCAACTGACTCGGAATCTATCGTTTTTGGTTTTGTCGGTATTGGTATACCTGGCCCTCCCTACCTGTCAGACGTTACGCCACGGCCAAGACACTAGCTGCACATTATTCGGGGACCCGGAACGAGTCGAAGTGTAACGGCCCACATGCTACTATGTGCTGCTACTGTAGATCGTGATACATACAGATCATTAAGATCTCAGAGCGTTCAGGGGTTTTCTTCCCCCTTGGTAACCAAAGTAGCCTCAAAGTAGCCAAACAACTCTCCTCCCTTGACATAACGAAGAGGTCAGTTATATATAAGATTGCATTATTAGAGCGACCGAAGAGATCATGCAAACCGGACATTGCCAATGAGTTTTCCGACAAGCAAAATCGTCAACCCGAAAATAGTAAAAAGAATTGCCACACCTTGGGAGACAAAAAGATGTCCTCGGTGAGGCTCGAACTCACGACCTTTGGATATCCCAATCTTGGATTGGATCATAGAAACATGAGACCAACGCTCTAGCCAACTGAGCCACGAAGACTTTCTGACGATTCAGGGGAATCAACAGAGGATGGGGCTTGGCCGGGGATTGAACCCGGGACCTCTCGCATATTTGCTTTCGGGTGTCACCCTAAGCGAGAATCATACCACTAGACCACCAAGCCAATCAGGTGAGAGGACGGCGATGAAAGCTGTACCATGAGCCGGTCCCGAGTCGATCGAGAGATGGAGGGTCGTGGAAGAGTGGTAGATCGCAGCTACACGACTCATTGAATAGAGTGTGTTCTATGTGTAAGCCAAAGCTTTAAAACGACTAGCTTCAATGTACGCTATGCTAGCTAGGATGTGGAGACATGGGATACATAGCTTCCTCGACCTGTTGCGGCATCGCCTGCCTGCGTCTCTGGAGCATATGTTGACGTTTATTTACTTAGCTTGTTCTATGATGGCTTTGTTATGCACTTTGGGGACACATGGATCAAGTGTCTCGGAGATTTAAGGAGATAGAGAATGGCAATTGAATAGGCTCTTCTATCTAATTAGCTGCCTCCTGCAGTCTCTGACGATCTCTCTCCAGCATCATATTGATAGCATACCATAAGACTTCCTACAGGGCAACTACAGTGTGCTATCTAAAACGACTAACCATTTATATCCCTTGAATATCTCATCACTCTATACATACCTCCAGGGGCTATATGCTAGGGGAAGGTGATGATATTGTTGTTGCGCGAAGGTCCTCTAGACTACATTACTAGGTGCCATCCGACTATATACAGGAACGGTGTCCTTTGTCTACATGCCCTGTGATAGTCCTCCTGATAGTTACGTTCTCTAACACATACGTTTACTCGATCAACTTCGCTCGTTTGGCTAGAGCGCGCTCCCTTCTATCCTGGAACGACTGATTGCCTTCGACTCAGCATTTTTCTACCCAACGCAGGGCATCGGCTTGCATCGGTCTACTCCTCTATCCGAGTATATATTGTGGGATGAGTCGTTCCAGACAAACTCCCAAAGCCAATAGAACAAGAGTCTATGGCGTCACGGATCTCAACAAAATCGTACGTGAAATTATTCTCTGCCTAAGCAAGGCGATTTTGTCAACAAAAGATCAACGTATTCGTCTTTCCTTCTGAGCAGTCATGTGTGACAGGAAATGTTGAGTTGTCCATGATAGCAGGCTCATCCTGGATAGTAGGTACCGTGTCGTCCCGCGTCATGGGTGGTGCTCTACCTTATGTGTACTTTGGCTAGGACGTGACACTCTATCCAACCAGATTGCTGCGGCGACCGCTCCGTGCAAATGTCTCAGTTCGTGGCGGCTGGGTTGCGACGGCAGCCTTGAAAGTGGCCCTGGGCGTGATGTACCTACTCCTACGTGACCTGACAGGACCGTTCGAGTCCGCCTCCTCGTGCGCAGCAAGCATGTCTCCCTACATAAGTCGGCTCACAGCCGACCAGCCTATCGGTTACTAGTGTTAGCGATTGGTGAGGAGAGATCGTATTTGGCGCCACCGTCGTCGATCGTCTGCAGACTAAAGTGAAGGGCAGCGATGCTATTGATGTGTGTCAGGTACCACGAGGCGGTAGCTACTGGCTTGGCTATGTTTGTATGGAGGCCGATGGAATGGGCCGCTGCTCGGTGTCGTTTTTTGTCAGCATACTGTACTGCATGCTGTACGTCTATATCCCGCTACAAGCGGGACTAACCAATGCCAGCCTTATGATTCTTTCGGCATGTAAGGTGTGGCTACTCTAACATTCACCTAAACTAAGATATCCTCAGTGAGTGGAGTTTGTATGAATGACGCAAATGCCAGAAGTGCTCCCAGAAGAAAAGCTATCTTGTCGCCCCTCTCCTAACCTCCAGGATTTAGTTATCAATACTGAGAGTACTAGGTTAACTATCCAGAAAAGAATGGCTTTAAATGGTGGGAGTGGACTTAGGGAACCGTACAAACATCATGTGTTAGTTTCGTTTCGATGAAGCAAGGGTCTGGGCGGGGATAAGGAGGCAGTGATCCAACTTCTCACTGGACCGAGTGGAATAGCCACTACGCGGCCGGTAGTTCGTCCATTCAACTCTCTATTATTGGATACCAAGTAGAGATGAGTCCGTGAATGCGAAAAATCTCTGACCGAAATGTGACTTGTAGCCCCTGTACTGATACTTTCAACAGTACCTTTGCTGTATCCCGGAATTAGGAGATCGGCTTCGGGTCCGGCGGTGTGTCTAGGGTGTGTATACGCTCTTTCGATAGGTGTATTGCGAGCATGGTGGCGAGATCATGTCAGCGGGTCTAGGGGCGTATGTTTACAATATCATACGTGTTAAAATGACGACGAGTTCAAATAATGAAGAGCTCGCAGTGAACCAAATTAAATATCGTCAGCTCTAACGTCTTACTTACTTGCTTGTATCTAAAGTGTTTTTTTTTTTCCTGTGAAGGTGCTTGTGGATTATGTTCATCATTTGCAACTGTGCCTCATGTACAACCCCACGTGCACTGTAACTCTGGCTCAGGGCTCTCACCAACCGGGATTTTTGTTAGTGGCCTGCCACTGATCCCGATGAGACAGCTAGCTAATTACGTAGATATAGACGGCATCACTAGCATACCTAGTATGAATAGTCGAGGTGGGGAGACACCAACCAGAAAAGCTTCCAGAGCGACTGGGTATATTGATGTGGTGATAACATCGCTAATACTATAGAATGCCCTTAGACGAATTCAATGAGTTCGATAATTAATTTATTACGAGGCAGACTACGCTGTATCATCCCTTGCATTTACGGTATCATAAAGGGCAACTAGCATCAGTCACAGCGCAGCTCTTTACCTTTTAGTGTGTCGATATCGCTATTTGTACAGGGTGTGATGGAGGGTGTTATGCATATGATCTGGCATCGCATGGCATGGGCTACCTAGCTTGGGTACCTAACTCCAACCACACAATTAACAGAATAGCAGTCTAGGTAACTATCCCAACTGGTGATCGAATCGAGATTACGCCACTCTGCATGCCTGCCTACTGATTTAATTGCTGTCATCCACCCCGAGCCCTGCCCGCTGTTGAGGCGAGGTAAGAGTTTTAGTGTATGGGGCACCTTAAACCCTTGCACTAAACAGGCTTTGAACAGGTACGTCAACTGTTTGATAGCTGGTTTCAACGATCTACACTACTATACTTGTAGATTAGGTATCTACGCTAACATACCACCACTACCGATGAACTCGTCCCACCAAATATTAGATTTTTATTTCTGCTAGAGAGAACTGTCTCCCCCATATTATTATAGCCTCGGCAGCTTACGCCGAAGCTCTGAAGTTCGGCGTTAATATTTCGCACTGCCGCCGCCTTCATGGTGCCAAATGTTTATTCATGAATCCATCTAAATAGTGCTAGCTACTTCTACCTCGGTTTGGGATATTACCAAGTGTTGGTCAGCCGTGATAGAAAGCTTGGTTAGCCCCTAGGTCACGCCACGCCCGGGTGGCATTGTTTTTACACATCTGAAGCGTCCGTAGAGGTATGCAAGTAGGATATAATGAGGGGGTGGGACTCAAGTCCCTTAATCAAGGCACTCTAATTATGAGTCCTCTATGGTATCTCTTTTCGGATGCGTCTTTGAACGAATTTAAGAGCTGCAGCCCTTGTACACCTAGGTATGGCTGACTTGCATATGCAACCCACCACAACCCACAGGTATTTGACAGCTTTGGCGTAATTAGGTACCAAGGGTGGCCAAACCTGGTAATCTCGTACATACCATACCTACCTAGACACACTAAAACCAAAACAGTCAACCCACTCGCTGCCCACTGAACTAGCTCGCTAGAATGACTACCGAGTTCCCAACAACCTGGAGAGAGGTCGCGGCCCGTTATGGAGACATCCCTTGTAGTCTAATTTACGGTAGTTTCGTTAATGTTGGCTTCATCTTAGATGTTATGGGGTAGGCGTGTATACAGCGTACACTGCGTCTACGGGGTATACGAGTTTATGAGGTATGCCAGGGCTTTCAGACCAAGATAGGTCTGGACTTGCTCTCCCTTGAGACAAACTAAGTATGCCGTGTTACATTATAGGTATATAGGTAATAAAAGCCACTGACTTCAAGGAAACCGTCCAGCGCAAAGGCTGATGGCACTAACGGTGCGGGTCTACCACTATCTACAGTTAAGCTGAAAAAGGAAGTGTTCAGGAGCCCCCATGTCAGGCAGTGCTCGCGATTGGCCTGCTACCGGCGAATGGAATGAATGAATGGATGGATGAACCCATTGAACGACTTGATCACTAAGACGCACAGCGTCTCGCGTGGGGCTTCTAGAAGTCGTCGGATAGAGAAACGGCGACAAGCAAGCTCACAAGGCCCGCCGTCATTCCGTATCGAGTAGGCTAATCCGTAGTATAGAGGATCTTTCAGTCAGTAGTCTAGGTATTGCATACATGACGCCAACGAAGCACCCATAGCCATAACCTACACTAGGTAGAGCTTTCCAACAAACAAACGCAAGATCAACTACGAGCGGCACCAGATGGACAAAGCTAAATCTCCGCGGATGGTCCAAGATTAGCGTCGATCTAGCGTCCGATACTACCTACATGCTGAACACAAGTGCGGATCTAAGCTATGTTACCAGTGAGCATGGGTACGCCAAGGTGTAGCAGTTAACTTCCGTTCCTAAGGCTGCACAAAATGCACATAGAATAGGTATCTGAGGACACTCCGAGTCCTCAACTAGATGAATGTAATATCAACTACCTCTGCTCGGAGACCTACGCTGGGGCCGAACGGGGACCAAACAATGCACGCTGAGACTAGGTAATCTACTCCGTCAAGGTAAACTCGCCTCTGTTCCAAGCCTCGAGGGGGTGGGGGGAAATATGCGTAGGTCGACCTATGAGAATATAAGTATTGCCTCTCATTTTTTGAGATGGCATTCGGGTTATTGGCAAGGTGGTACCTATGTGAAGGCAAGCTCCCTCACGTTGGGCTACCAGCGGAGTGGCGAATACAATGCCGACTGCCGGTGACTACATTAGAGAAGTATAAATCTATGATCGTGGTAAAGGCTCCGCCCGGGAGCAACACGTAAATAGATGAAGAAGGAGCGGCGCAGCAACGAAGTTCCGGCAGGGTTCCGCGAATGTTCGG